TACATACCTATCAAGGTCTTTAAATGTAAATGGTCTAAATGTTCTAATCAAAAGACAAAGGGTGACAGAATGGATTAAAAAAAGAAAAAAGACCCATCAATATGCCGCCTGAAGGAGACTCACTACAGACCTAAAGACACATACAGACTGAAAGTGAGGGGATGGAAAAAGAACTTCCATGCATAAGGGAAGGTGGGGGATAAAAGGTAAAAGCTGGGGTACAATGTTTCTATCACTCAAAATAGAATTTAAATCAAAGACTGTAGCAAGAGACAAAGAGGGCAATTACATAATAAGGGGCTCAAACCAACAAGATGCTTTAACAACTGTAAACGTTTATGCACCTAACATAAGAACACCTGAATATATAAAATAAATATTAACAGATGTAAAGTGAAAAGTTGACAGTAATGCACGAATACTAAGGGACTTTAACACCAACTTATATCAATGGATAGATCATCTAGAAATAAAATAAATAAGGAAACAGCAGCTCTGATGACATAAGATCAGAGCAGAAAGAAATGAAAATAGACACCTGAAATAGAAAAGATCAATGAAACAAAAAGTTGGTTCTTAAAAATAAATTAATTAATAAATAAAGGATTCTAATAAATAAGACCAAAAATGAAAAAGAAGTTAAAACAGACAAAACAGAAATACAAAGGATAAGAGACCACTACAAAAATTACATGCCAACAAATTATATAACCTAAAAGAAATGGATATATTCCTAAAAATATACCATCTTCCAAGACTAAATCAGTTGGGACCACAACCAACTAAGACTTTTGCATAGCAAAGTAAACCATCAATAAAATAAAAAGGCAACCTACTGAACAGGAAATCTTTGCAAATGATATACCTGATAAGGGGTTAACATACAAAATACATAATGAATCCATACAACCCAACAGTAAAAACCAAATAATCCAATTAAAACATGGGCAGAGGACCGAAATAGACATTTTTCCAAAGAAAACATACAGATGACCAACAGACACATGAAAAGATACCCAACATCACTCATCAGGGAAATGCAAATCAAAACCACAATGAGATACCACCTCACACCACTCAGAATGGCTAGTATCAAAAAGTCAGTCACAAGCATTGGTAAGAATGTGGAAAAAAGGTATTGCTCATGCACTGCTGGTAGCGTAAATTGGTGCAACCACTGTGGAAAGCAGTTTGGAGGTTTCCTAAAAAATTAAAAACAGACATACGGTATGACTCAGCAATTCTACTTCTGGGTACTTATCTGAAGAAGAGAACACTAATTTAAAAAGATTTTATGCACACCTATATTTACTACAATATGAAAACGGATCCTTGAACAATGTGAGGGTTAGGGCAACTGACCCTTGCACAGTCAAAAACCCATGCATTATTTTTGACATCCCCAAAATTTAATTAGTAATAGCCTACTGTTGAGCAGAAGCCTTACTAATAACAAACAGTCCATTAACACACACATTGTATGCTATCTGTACTCAAGGGTTAACTATATTTACAATAGGCAAGATACAGAAGCAATCTAAGTGTCCATCAATAGATGAAGAGATAATTTCATCTTGAAGGGTGTTTGCTGGTTTCTGTTGTGAAAGAGTTGCATTTAATACCAACTAAGACTCATCCTGTTCTCAGCTTTTCAAGCTAATAATCAACTGTGAAATAAGTTGGACAGAGAAAGACAAATACCGTTATGATTTCACCTATATGTAGAATGTGAAAAACAGAAGTGAACAAACAAGCAAACTTAAAGAAACAGACTCATACACATGGAGAACAAAGTGGAGGTTGCCAGAGAGGAGGTGCGGAGGGGAAGGGATAAAATGGATTAAGGGAAGAGAGAGGTACAAACTTCTAGCTGTAAAATAAATTAAGTCATGCGGGGTTGTGGAGGGGGGGGTGTCTTGGTGACTCATTCGGTTCAGGAAAATTAGTGTTTCCTGATTTTGGCTCAGGTTGTGATCTTAGGGTCGTAGGATCAAGCCCTGCCTCAGGGTCCATGCTGGGTGGTATGGAGCCTGCTTGAGATTCTCTCCCTCTGCCCCCCACACATGTATTAAATAAAGTCAAGAAATGAAAAGTACAGCATAGTGAACAGAGTCAATAATACTGTAATAACTTTGTGTGGTGACAGTGGGTACCTACACTTATCGGTGAGCGGTGAACACTGAGTAATGGATGTAATTTCCAGATCAGAAAGTTATAGATCTCAGACCAATATTATATGTCAACTATACTTCAATTTATTTTTTAAAGATGTTACTTATGTATTTGAGAGAGAGAGAGCACGAGTAGGGCAGAGGGAGAGGGACAAGCAGACTCTCAGCCAAGCAGGGAGCCCAATGTGGGGCTCAATTCCAGGACTCTAGGACCAAGACCTGGCCAAAGGCAGATGCTCAACCAACTGAGCCACCCAGGCACCCCTATACTTCAACTTAAAAAGTCTGCTGGGGCACCTAGGTGGTACAGTCTGCCGAGCATCTGACTTTTGGTTTCGGCTCAGGTCATGATCCCATAGGTCATGAATCGAGCCCCTCGATGGGCTCCATCCACATTCAGCATGGAGTCTGCTTGAGTTTCTCTCTCCCTCTCCCTCTGTTCCTCCCCTGCACTCTCTCTAAAATAAATGAATAAATCTTTAAAAAAAATTTAAATTAAAAAAAAATTAAAATCTCCTACCTTTAAAAAAAAAAACTTACACTTCATTAAAGAATGCATCACCCTAATTTCCTTCTTTGTTTTTTTATTCTTCAAAGCACTAGTCATGTTTTAATAGACCACATAATCTACCCATCTGTTTACTATTTCTCTCTTCCACTAAACCTAAGGTCTAAGAATGGCAGGGCATCTTTCTGCTGTGTTGATGGCTCTGTCTCCACCACCTAGAACTGTGTGCCTGGCCCACAGCAGGTGCTCAGTAAATACTCACTAAACGAATAAATGAGTGAATGAATGAGTTACTGGAAGAGCCTGAGAGGGTCCACGAACTCACTGAAATTATAAAAAAGGGTCCACAGCTTTCATCAGATTTTCAAAAGGCACCAGGATAAGAGCTTCAAAACCACTAGCCTGGCAAGTTCTCAGAGATTCAACCCAGTTTCTAGAATATCTCTGAATCCTTAGAAGGCGCAGATGTATTTCTGCCTTCATGTGATCACTCATTTCCCAAGTGAAATAGAACAGAACTAAAGTTACCATCGCTTACTTCTGCAGTTTTAGAACCAGTGACTCAGAAAACCGGAAGAGCGCCTGGGTGGCTCCGTCGCTTAAGGATTTTGGCTCAGGTCATGATCTCAGGGTCATGAGATCGAGCCCCATGTTGGGCCTGCACTCAAGGCGAAGTCTGCTTGGGATTTTTTCTCTCTCTCTGCCCGTCCCACCCTCCCCCTGCTCCCCACCCACTCTGGCACATGTGCTCTCTAAATATATACATTCTTTAAAGAAAAAAAAAAAAAAAGGGAAGAAATACACTGCACAGTGGTAGCCTATCCTCTCAGCCTCCAGCCCCACCCCTCCTCTTCACAGCTGAGGCCCATGCTGCTCTTCATATTGATTCTCCAGGAGAAAACAAGTCGGGGGGGGGGGGGGGGGGAGGGTTCTTGTTCCTCCCATTGTCAAAGTTGAAACACGTAGTAAGGTTTGTGTTGGGGTGGGTTTTGTTTTTTTTTTAAGATTTTATTTATTTGACAGAGAGAGAGAGTATACAAGCAGGGGGAGCAGCAGAGGGAGAGGGAGAAGCAGGCTCCCTGCTGAGTAAGGAGCCCAATGTGGGACTCGATCCCCGGACTCCAGGATCCTCACCTGAGTGAAGGCAGATGCTTAACCCACTGAGCCACCCAGGCGCCCCCATGTTGTCAGGTTTTATCTATTAATGCCCTGCCTCATTCTAACAAGGTGTTGGAAAAGTATTATTCACAGTAATGAATTTGTTAACTAGGATTAATACTGTGTACATTCCTTAACATCAAAGTGACAATATCAGGGTTTTTTTTTAAATCCCATATCCTTAAAAACAAGAGCAACAACACTTACCAAGGTAAAGGATCTCCTGCCACCTCCATCCCAACCCCCACCAACTCCCACCCCTGCTATGCTTCCCACCACAGATCAAGCAAGCCATCAAGGATGCCCCCACTCTTTTCATCCCATCCCCCACTCCCAACATCAAGTTCCCGCTCTCCCCACTCCCCACAAAGCCTAGCAGGACACGGGTTGGTAGAAAAGAGAGGCCAAAGGAGACAGGTGGTGAAATGGGGCAAGAAATTAAGAAAGGTGGAGGGAAGGGGGAAGGCTCTGGCAATTAGGAGCCACCCACCCCATTGCAAATAGAACCACACTGCTCTAATAAGCTGCATGCCTAATGTTAATACGTTTTATCCTAGGTAAAACACACATATTTAAAGGTCAGTGACCTACTGCCAATTTTTAAAGGTCTGGATAAGTTATCTGAAAATCTCTTTTCTAGCTTTAACAACTTTATCCAAGGATGCGGGTGGGGGGTAGCCAAGCACTCTGGGCAATGTCTTAACCTTCATAATTCATATTCCAAACAAAAATCAGGTTCCTACTTCATGGTACATGTCCTGTATTTACTGCTGTCCATGACCTTGTTCATGCCATCATCCACATGAAAACCACTGCCAAAATGTTTTTCGTCTTTCTAGGCCCAGCTCAAGTACATACAGCCTCCTCCAGGAAGCTGTCTCCAGCCCCACCAGCTAGAATCAATTGCTTCCTTGCCCATACATCTAAAATGCTCTATTCCTACCTCTAGTTGCCACAGATCAGAGCTGGTTATTAATATATGTACTTCGTCGCTTAATTATCAACTTAAGGGCACTGTATTCAATTTTCTCCCAGAACCTGACCCTAGGTCTTATCACATAAAAGGGGCTCAAAAGGAGAGTCATAATACAATTCCCAGCAAAATTAAGTAATAATAAGAGTAAATACGCAGCCCCCCCACACACAAGAAAACCAAATTCTACCTCCTTGGAGCCTGGAACACTGCTGTGATCTTTTTCCATTATCAGCCATCTGAGAACGTTTGGAATGGAGAGATTTTTCCATGTCGGCCATGGGTTAACAAATCTGCCATCCTTTCCTTTCTTTGATTTAGTTACATCTTCCTCTAGTCTGTAATCCAGTTTGAAACTTTTCCTGGAAAACCTAGAAGAATCACTTCCTACAGAGCTCCGGGCTGAATTTTGGCGTTTTCTTACTGCTTCTTTGGGATACTGGCTGCTCGTCATCAGGGACTGGCTGCTTTCATTTTCATCCATGTCCTTTTCAGAACTAAAAAAACAGAAGGAGTGGAAATATGGACTTGAACATAAAGGCATTAAAACTTATCACACAACATCCGTAGTATTATTTCTTAGGAAAGAGAAATTTCCTCAAGCTTATAAAAACTGTAGGTCTCTATCAGCTCAGACTTTCTTTTGGCAAAACACAATTTCTGAATCCAATATTATAGCTTGCTAATTAGAAAAGATGTTTGCTTTACCTATTCCTGCCAAACCTTATAAATACTCCTTATCTCCTGTAATCCAAAGCAAGGTCCACCCAGCAGGCAGCATTTAAACATACGAAATTTTCCATTTCAATGGTATCTTTTACAATTAAAGGATCTTCCTGAATGTGCATTTCATACCTGAATTTTAAAAATACTTTTGTTAAAAACACACAGTGAGAAGGACTGCCTTAGTTCCTTGAAGATAACTCAGTACTCCACTAGGCCTAGCCGTTTTTACTTTGAAGATAATCTGTTACCAATTCCCCTAAAAAACACACTGAGTTCAGATCCCAAGACAATAACATTAGTGGAGAGATATTTCAATAATGTATTTAAATGGTGAACCATGCAAATTTGAATTAACTCAGATTTAGAACTGCCAAGACAGTGTAGTGACCTTGGATAAGTTTCCTACTCTCTCTGGGCCTCGATTTCCTCATCTGTAAAAAGGAGATAACAAAAGTACATGTCTCTGATGTTTATGGAGAGGTTTTAAAAGCTAACATAAAGCACTTAGAAACATGCATGTAACATGTATATAACAAATGTAACACATACACACACGGCAAGAGCTCGACAATGTTAGCTGTTGGCCTCATTATTCCCACCACCACCACTTAACCCAAGGAATCAAATCCTTCATTTTGAACTATGTAGATACTCCAGATACATAAAAGTGATAACGTATTAAGAATATGCATTGATCCAGGGGCATGGGGGTGGCTGTCATTTGAGCATCCAACTCTTGATTTTGGCTCACTTCATGATCTCAGGGTCATGAGATCAAGCCCCAGGTCAGGCTCTGTGCTCATCAGGGAGTCTGCTCGAGATTCTCTCTCTCCCTCCCTCCCTCCCTGCCCCTCCCTGCCCCTCCCCTGCTCATGTGTGTGAGTGCATTCGAATAAATAAATCTTTCCTAAAAAAGACTACACATTTATCTGCCATGAATTTCATTTCTTTCCGATTCTATTAAGCAAACATTTGCTTTCTGTCCAGTTTAAATACAATGCATGCACATAATACATTTCATAACAAAATAAACACAACAGAAAGCCAAATATTTTTATGGCCTTGGTGATATTTACCATAGAAATACTGTCTGGGAGGGAAAGGGAAAAGAACATAAAGGCTAGGATGAACACATACACTGAACTAAAACTATTTTTCCAAACCGTCTACAGTAAAATAGTGTCTGGTCTAGGGAATAATCAGTGTTGGGAAACCACAGCTGGCAAAAGCTAGAGCACACGGTGTTGTACTCAGCACCACTGGTTGCTGGGAGCCTCGTGGCTAAGACAGCCTAACAAGCTTTGTATCTTAAGCAAATAACCACCTCTCTAGGCCTCAATTTCCTCATCTGTAAAATACCTCCTTACCTCATGGGGGTTCAAAGGATCAAAATCACACAATGTCCATATAGGGCTTGCCACTCACCACATACTAATTCTTTTTTCCGTAATCCTGTGAACTAGCCATATATCTCAATTCTTTAAATTCCACCAGAAAGCAAAGAATCTGGGTGAGTTATCTCGGTTCTTCTCGAAGAACTGCTCTGTAATTCCCCGGGTTATAATTAAATTCAGGCCCAGGACTTTACAAAGGGCAGGAACAAAAAAGACCAACCACTTAAACCCCCCTTCATTTAACAGATGTAAACGCACCAAATTTAGAGACTTTATTTTTGTCTAATAGACGGCAGAACTGACCTGATGCTACCAACCCCTTGTGATGATCGACAGTTTGTGGGATACATACATGGGCCTATGAAGACACACAGACCTATACATACATACATATACATATATATTATACATATATAACATTCCTACCAACTATGTAATAAATTCTGGTCTCATTAAAACAATCAGAGGATAAAGAGAAAGGAGAAATGGACCCTCTGATTCAAAAACCACAAAGCAAAGTCAAAATAGAGTTTTGAGACAACATTGAGTCATGTGATGCGGCTGGGACATAAGAAGTAACGAAGGCTTGTGAGAGCCAACAGCAGAGCCTGAGGGCTGGGATCCGATCTGGAGCCTGGCCTGAGACTTGAAGGAGGTCTGGCTGCCCTGCAAGAAATGAGGAAAAAAACGAAGGAGCTTAAAAAGGAGACAACTCTGGTAGCAGGGCAAAAACGAAAGCGTGTCGCTAAACATGAACCAGGGAGGTAAATTTGCGAAGAGGAAATAGGCAGCCCCTCTGTTCCCTGTTTCACAAATGCCATTTAAATTACTGCTCCTAGCAAAATTTCAGGGTAGGTATCACAATGCCCATTTCTCATTTAGATTTTATTTATTTATTTGAGAGGGGAAAAAGCACACACGCAGAGGGAGAGACGGAGCCAGAGGGAGAAGCAGGCTCCCCACTGAGTAGGGAGCCCCATGTGGGGCTCGATCCCAGGACCCCAAGATCATGACCTGAGCCAAAGGAGCCACCCAGGCATCCCTAATGCCCTTTTCTTTTCTTTTTTAAAGATTTTATTTATCTATTTGACAGAGAGAGACACAGTGAGAGAGGGAACACAAGCAGGGGGAGGGGGAGAGGGGGAACGGGCTTCCCACTGAGCAGGGAGCCTGATGCGAGGTTCAATCCCAGGACCCTGAAATCATGACCCAAGCTGAAGGCAGACATTTAACGAATGAACCACCCAGGTGCCCCCCAAAGCCCTTTTCTATCTGAAACACTAAGAGGTATAGCAGGCCAGTCAAAAGACAAGGAAGCAGTGACAGTGAGAAGAGAAAGCACAGAATAAATCCAAGAAACAAGAGAGTGAATCAGCAAGACCTAAGCCTCTGGGTGACGGCAAACTTTGGGCTGTTCGTAGGGCAGGTTGGGGGATGGGTAGAGTGGCAGGAGGCAGAAAGGACACAACCAATGACCAAGCCAAGGAATTAGGGGAAAGCAAGTGTTTGGAGGATGCAAGAGAGAATGGATTTCTGACCCAGTCAGCTTGAGATGGGGGTGAGACGACAGGGAGTCGTCCAAGTAGATGTGCTCAAGGACATGCAGGGACATGGTGACCCTGGGACCCAGACTGCACTGGAGGTGACACAAGTGAAGGTAAGAGAATAGGGAGGTTTCCAGGGACCCGGGAGTAGAAGGAGTGGAAAAATGGGTTCAGTGCTCTGCTTTATCCTTAAGTAATGAATAGTCTCTACATGCCGTCCCCATTTTCTTCCACCCACTCAGGCTCTCACCCCAGTCCACCCACAGAAACTGCTCTCCAGCAAAGAGCCGCCGTCCTCTCTGAACACGCCCTCCACCCCAACACACACAAAATCCAGTCTTCGGGAATGATCTTTTCAAAGGCAGATCTGATACAACCAACAAAAAGGAAAAATCTCCAGAACCTTCCCTTGGTTCTCAGAATGAGGGCAGAAGTCAGCAAGAAGATGAGCCGTGGGGGTGTTTGTGGCCTGGCCCACACTCTGCTCTGCGGCAGACACGTGGCCTTGTTCTACTTCCTCAAATGCACGCACTCCCACCTCACCGCCACCTCTTATCATCACCGGGCCTTTGCCCATTATTTTTTTATTTTATTTTTTTAGATTTTTTATTTATTTGACAGACAGAGATCACAAGTAGGCAGAGAGGCAGGCAGAGAGAGGGGGGGGGAAAGCAGGCTCCCCGCCGAGCAGAGACCCCGATGCGGGACTCGATCCCAGGACCCTGGGATCATGACCTCAGCCGAAGGCAGCAGCTTAACCCACTGAGCCACCCAGGTGCCCCTTGCCCACAATTTTTTTAAATATCCTTCAATACCTGGACATGTATTCACAGGATCATACACAACCACGACAGCGTCCAGGCTACACGCTATGTGGGCACTCTGCACTGAGTGTGAAATGATTTGGAAAAATACAGAAGGACATGAAAACCTGAACTGTAACAATCTGGACTTGTTCTCTCGGAGGAAAAGTACTGGCAGTCCACTCCGTGCACGTGCAAAGGGACGAGCCCTACCAACAGGGGCTCCGGCAACAAAGTGAGCCTCGGCGGGCGGACACACAGGAGCCTGGGCCACGGGAGAAGGGGCCTCATCACCTCCAGGTGTTCTGGCCGCTCTCGAGGGCACAGCAACAGCCTCACGGGGCACATATTCAAACACTGAAAAGATCAAATGATGGGAAAAACGAAGACAGAACAAGAGTGGGTTCTGTGTGTGGCCCTGCTGGTCACTTGCTTTCCGCTTTGTAAATTCAGACAAGCCTGATAACACATTCAGGCTGGAGTTTCCTTAATTAAACGTAGCAAATCTCCTCCTTATTTCTAGTTCTAGAACTCTCTCCAAATTTAACAAGTAAAATTTCAGCCTTCCTCTTAGCCCAGCGGTAAGCAAAAGGAGATGTGCGTACATGGGAAACAAACTGTGTTATAAGGGTTCAAAACTTGATGAGGATCTTTACCGAATGCTGATTTCCATCCAATTCAAGGCACCATGAATGGTGCACACTGTCATTTTATGTGTCACTAAGACTGTAAAATTATTATTATAAGACCATCCATTATATGACATAACCTGGTATCAGTGGTGTTCAAATGTCCATAAAAGTTCTGTCTTGACATTAATGAAATACACCAGTTTTTATACGCAGATACAGATTTTAGACAAAGAACAAAAACGTTAGCCTCGGTAATTAAATAGAATCAGAACCACAATTAATGTATTGACCCTCCTTTCCTCTGTGAACAGCTAACTTTGTGAACAACAGCTGAATTTAGAATCCAGAAGCAAATTTAAACAAAGCCCTAGGAACACTAATGTAAGTGCTCTTTTTTT